TGATCCCCATTAAAAAATCTTAGGACCAAAGCCTCAGAGACAGAGTTTTAGTTGACCACAGAGACAGAGTTTTAGTCAAACTAGAGATGACATTTAGACCTCAGTTGTGTTTCAGCTTCAGGCCCAGAAAAGAAGCAAAAGCAGATGAAGCAATGCCATGGCTGACATCAGGACCGGATGCAAGGATTAATGACCCCCTACCTTAGTGCTGACCAATCGATCAGTAGAGACCATAACTCTGAAAGGATGCAACTGGAAAGCTGATGAATATTCTATTGAGATCGACCTTAAGGCAAGGGATCCAATGTTCCCTTCCCTTCCCTTCCCTTCCCTTCCCTTCCCTTCCCTTCCCTTCCCTTCCCTTCCCTTCCCTTCCCTTCCCTTCCCTTCCCTTCCCTCCCCCCCCCCCCCTCTCTCTCATAGCCCCAGCCTTTCCCCCCTTCTCTCAGAAGTGTTATCTTTGCATTCTTCTTCTAAGCATTAAGGGCCCCTCTTTTGCCTCTGTAACTTGTTTTCTTCTACCTCTGTGACTTTCTAAATAAACTTTTGCTTGTATTTGAGTTTTTGGCTCTGAGTTTTTTCTTAGCTGAATGCAAGAACTGGGGTCTAACATCTAACTCCACCAGTAACAGGATTTTCACAAATATCAGTGTCAAGGTTCCTGGAACTGCCTCCAATGCATCTCTCATTCTGGCTCCTGGCTCTGGAGGCTCAGACTTTTGTGTCCCCAGTTTCTGGATTTCTTCTCGATTCCAAATTCTTCTGCAGTTTCCACTTCTTTTTCACCCAGACCAGAGCAACTTAAGAATACACTAGTAGGCTGAGCCCTATTCAATATTCCCTTTGTCTCCCTTTTTCTGCCATGAGGTGGGTTGGAAAGGGAAGAAATGTCAGCCCAGCCTAGCAAGAGAGTGTGTGCAGCACCCGCTTCCCCAAAGTCCCACTTCCAGTACCACCTGGGCCCACCAGGCACCCTAGAGAGCTATTCTGAGCAGAGAGCCTGAGGGACTGGCTTAGCCTTTACGAGCATCTGGTTTTGTGCTTTGCTGAAGCCACGGGAAGGGAAGAAAAAAATTTTTTTTCCAAGTAGATGGTGAACATGTAACCCCTTGGGGTGCAGCAGGATGGGAATAGAAACAGGGTCAGGGAGCACTGAGGAGTCGGAGTTATGACAGGCCACTGAAGGGAGGGCCACCAAGGTCTCAACCTTTCCCCAGTGCCTGTCACCACCTGGAGAAGTGGTGGTGGAGGGAGCCTTTTGGGGAGGTGGGGCTCCAGGTGGGAGGGTTGGGTGGCCTGGAGGGCACATGGAGTAGGTGGTCCTGCAGAGGTTCAGGGTGTAGCTGGCTCTCCAGCTGGGAGCGGGCTAGGCTTTAGCTCCTGAGTATTGATGGGACCAGATGGGGTGAAGGCCTTATGAAAATGGTGATGTAGAGCCAGATACCAGGTGGACAATGGTGCAGTGTCCCAGGGAGGGATCAGTGGACCCATAAATCCAATCTATATATATAAAAGCCTAATATGCAAATTGTCCCTGTGGGTGTTTGACTGAGAGACTGATCACTCACTATGACATGCGATGACCACCAGGGGTCGGTGCGGAATGAAGGAAGGCCCCAGCCAGCAGCCAGCAGCCAGGGAAGGGAGGCCCCAGCTGGCAGCTGGAAGGCCCCGATCAGCCTTCTAGTATTTCATGCACTGGGCTTCTAGTATTTAATAAAAACTCTTATGCAGTCCTGAACAGCCATGGGAACAGACAGCTCTCACCCTGATGGACACAGATATGGATTCTATCAGTGGACTCTAAGCCAGGGTGATCTTGATGTGAGCTAACAGGAAGACTGAGGAGTGCTCAGGGATTAGTTCCAGGCAAGGCCTCTGGGAAGGAGGTCTTGGGAAGATGATGAGGTGTGGAGACGACAGGCAGGCTCAGGGCCTTGGGGAGCTTGAAGCCTCAGCACCAGTGCCTTGTCATGCCTGAGCGGAGCAGATGAGATGCTTTGCAGAAGGTGAGTGGGCTTGCATCTGGGGTGTCTGGGGGCCATCTGGGGGAGAATAAGCACACACCTCTGGATCCAGAGAGAGACCCTGGGGAGACATTTATGGACACAATTGAGGTGATTTTGAATGGATGAGATTGTGTGGAGAGTTGAGAAAAGGAAGAAGAAAACCCTGGGGGACATTTGAGGACAGAGCGGGGCGCCTGCGCAGGAGAGTGAGTGTGGTTAGGGGACCAGAAGAGATCCCAGGGGCGTGGCTCAGCAGCGGAGGAACATTTCAGGAAGCAGGAGTGGCCACTAGTGTGAACTGCAGCCCAGACAGATGATGGGAGGAGGTTAGGGAAATGAAAGGTCCCAGGTGACTTGCAAAAGTGATCTGGTGGAATGCTGGGGACAGAGGTCCTGGAGAGTGTGGGAAGCAAGGCAAGATGGGTGGCAAGAGCCCAGCTCGAGAGGGAGGGTGGACTGGAGCTCGAGGTGTTGGGTGGGAACAGGAGTGAGGCTTTCTAAGGTGGGGGAGGGAGGAGGTCATTGGACAAATGCCAGTGTCTTCGTAGACTTGCTTTTTCCCCTGTCACATCTCACAGGACCATGCCCTTCTCACTAACAAACTCCCTCATTTCTCAAGGCTTGTGCAAAGGAACCCTTATTCTCATTTTGATGGGTACCGATTCTTCCCTATTTTCCCAATCACCTTGGCATTTCAAGGTGATTAAAAAAAGAGACTGCTGAAACCGGTTTGGCTCAGTGAATAGAGCCGTCAGCCTGCAGACTGAAAGGTCCCAGGTTCAATTCTGGTCAAGGGCATGTACCTTGGTTGTGGGCACATCCCCAGCGGGGGGTATGCAGGAGGCAGCTGATCGATGTTTCTCTCTTATCAATGTTTCTAGCTCTCTGTCCCTCTCCCTTCCTCTCTGTAAGAAATCAATAAAATATATTTTTTTTAAAAAGAGAGAGACAATGGCCTTTTTGTATGCACGTCAGGGACAGTCTTTAAGGAGTTGTGTGGGCCAGGCTGGGGGTGGGGGGGTGGGGAAGAGAGAAAGGGGGGAGGGAGTTGGGGCACCTGAGGTCTCAGGAAATGGTGCAGTGAATGCACTTCTTCCAAATGCTCCAAAATCACTGGCAAGAGGCTCCCTCTTCCGGAAGAGCTGTTGCTACTCCCTCCATTCCTCTTGGCCACTTTACAACGTTCTGGCATGTCCTGAGACCAAGGTGAGCGGCTCAGTGCTTTGTTGGTGATCAGAACTGGGTCCCTGGATGCCCCTGTTGGAGCACAGCCTCTCTGGGGCCTCTGGGGCTCTCCCCCTTCCCCTGAAGGCTGGGTACGTGGTATGGGGGGCACAGGAGGAGGCAGCTGGTGCAGAGCGCTGCTGTGCCCAGGAGATGGCTGAGGCTTGAACATTGGACATGTTTGCTGATTGATCATCGTGCTGACAGAAAGTACTGGCCAAGTTGCCCACACTGCCTGCCTCCATGTCCACTGTTATGGGGACACGAGGGCCCCCTCCCCCACTAAAAATCCTGCTGATGGACTCCCTTCCCACCTCGCTCCCTTGTCCCCACTATTGACCTCCGGTGGCTTACCTGCCCTAACATGTGGGAACTAATGTTCACTCTGCTCAGGGACCCTCCCCTGCTACCGACGACCCCCGCTCAGGAGCCCAGTATTCAATCCCCTGATACTGGACCCCTGACTTAACCAACAGTCTCCACTCCTATGAGACCATAAGGGCTGTCCCCCAGTGTCCCCAGCTTTCGGGGGCCAAGGTGCTGCAAAGTGTGGCCCTCTTGGGATGTCAAGCAAGATTCCTGGGTAGGTGTTCTCTCTCTCACCACACCACGCACACCTGTCTACTTGGGCTTGTATATATATATTTTTGTAACGTTCCACCCATTTAACTGACGACTGCATCACAGGTACATCTGGGGAGACTGACAAAGTGAACATTTGTGTTTATGGTTACTGTTTGTTTCCCAAGACTGGTCACATGACTTTAAATCCTCCTCCTCCTCCAAAGTCCTTTGGTCATGCTACAAGCCCCAATAGGACAGGCAGTTAAAGAGCCAGTTAAGATGAAACTAGAAAGCTGCACAAATACCCAATCTGTCCTGTTGTGGGCCTTTAAAACTTGAAGAACTATAGGAAAAAAAACAAGTTCTTTATAGATTATAAGCTAAAGAGGGACAGTTTGCACAGTTTGGACAAAATAGAAGTACTCTTGCCAATAAATATGTCTCAAAATGACAAATAAAGCTCTCCCCATTTGACAGCTCCGGATCCCAGCGGGAGGTGATGGGCACAGGCACAGGGGGCTATGTACAGAGTGTAAACAGTAAGGCCCTGGGGGAGGGGGGGTACTGGGGAGCAGGGGCAGGTGATGCGGTGTGCAAGGAGGAATACCGGCAGGGTCCACGGGTAAATACAACAGGCTCGTAGAAACAGTCGTCCCATCTGTCACCAAAGCTTGTGGGTAGGTGGCTGTAACGGTGACGGATCTCAAGATTCCTCCAGTTGGCAGTAAGGAGAAACTTGTTCACCGAGAAGCCCTGGTCCCAGGGACGTTTTCCTAGGGAGGCAGTGGGGCAGCCATGCAGGGCCTCCCTGCCCCGTTCCCCCCAAGAGAAGGGGCAGGCCTGTCTGGCCAGACTTGGGGCTATCTACCCAGGGTTCAAGGCATGGATGGGGCAGTGCTTCTCAAATAGGGATTGGGAACAAATGGCACCCCTCCCTCCCGAAGTCCGCACCCCCTTGCTTCCAAAGGAGGAGCTTGGGCATTTGTGTCTGGTTGGGCCCCATAGCCTTCCACCCCTCCAGGGCAGCGCTCTGCCTCCCTTCCTCCTGGATGCTAAAGAGCAGCTGTCCTGATCAGTTTCGAATCCCCGATCCACAGGGGCCTCTGGAACCAAGCTAGCTTCTCCTCCCGTCCTCGCCCCCACCCCACCTTACCCACCTCCCCTAGCACCCCCGCCCCCATCCAGGCCTGGCTCTGGGGGTCCTTAGATATCAGTCTCCCTGTCAGTCTCCCGGAGGTCGCCGCAGTCCGCCAGTTCGTAGGCGCCCTCCACGACGTTGGGGGGAACACCGAGGGACACCGCCTCCACCTCGGGGCGCAGGGCGCAGGCCGCCTCGGGGCGCGGCGCGCTCCCGGCGCGGAGCCGGAGCGACAGGCTGGAGACCTTGGCGCGCAGCTGGGTGCTGGGCCTCCGGAGCGGCCCGGGCAGCCTCCACTCGCGGAAAGCGAGCGGCTTCGCCTCGGCTGCGCCTGGGGAGCCCGGGGCGGCGAGCTCGGCGAGGGCCAGCGGGGCCCCGGGGAGCGCAGCCCCCGGGCCGGGGGCGCAGTCGGGGCGCGGGCCGCCCTCGGAGACCCGCCAGTGGTGGCCGTAGACCCGCCAGAGGGGGCGGCGGCGCCGGCGGCGCCGGCACTGGCAGCGCAGCAGGCGGAGGAAGGCGCGCTTGAACTCGCGGCTGGAGCAGGGGTAGATGAGCGGGTTCACGCAGCTGTTGAAGTAGCCTAGCCAGAAGATGACCTTGAAGACGCTCTCCGAGGGCTTCAGCTCCGGGAACAGGGAACCTGCAGGGAGCAGAGACCCGCGAGGGTTAGATGCTCAGGAGGAGGGAGGTCCAGGCAAGCCCCTGGACGATACGGGGCGACCCTCCCTGATCTCCAGGGGCCCTTACTGAATCTCTCAAACTACTTCTCTTCAGGGGGTCCCTCATATAACTCCAGGGTGTCCATGAACTTATTTGGGGAAAGAGTCATCCTTGGTTGTACTCACAATCATGAGACCTGCTGCATTTCCCCCTTCTCCCCAAAGAAATAAGAGCAGGGTCCCCTACTGGGGCAGGGCACCATGTCCCCCTCTTGAATGGGGGGCACTTGCATATCACCTACCCCCACCATTTAGAGAAGTGCTGGTGCTAAGAAACACCATGGAGGAAGGGGAAGGGCACACAGCACTGTGTGGAGGGCAATGGCCATTCAAACCTTGGTCAAGTAGCCCTGAGCCAGTTGTTTGCTAAGTCTCACTTTCCCTTTCTGTGAAATACAGTCAATAATATTTCTGTGGCTCGGCCGGCATGGCTCAGTGGTTGAGCGTTGACCTATGAACCAGGATGTCATGGTTCGATTCTCGGTCAGGGCACATGCCCGGGTTGTGGGCACAATCACCAGTGGGGGGCATGCAGGAGTCAGCCGATCAATGATTCTCTCTCATCATTGATGTTTCTATCTCTCTCTCCCTATTCTTTCCTCTCTGAAGTCAGTATTATATATATATATATATATATATATATATATATATATATATATATATATAATAATTGTCTGGCAGGGATTTTATGAAGATTCATGAATTTCAGGGTCTAGCACTTAACAGATTCTTAATAAATACGTCTGTTACTCACGCCCCCACCCCCTTTTCTTATTTCTGTGGCTTTTGAGAGAGGAGACCTCAGACCTGGAAGGAACCCACTTCCAGCTCTGGAGAGTGGCCAGAAACAGAAGCCTCCATCTGGTAGATGTGGGGAGGCTGGGATATCGATCTGGGTGTGTTGAGGAGACACTATCCCCTGGGAGAGGAGTTGGATCATTGTCTTTGGAATACGGGGTCCAACAGGGCTGCCCTCAACCTCCAGGCAAGCAGCCCTCTGAACACCATCCCTCAGGGGCTGAAAGTAAGACGGAGTGCTGAAAATAACGCTCTGACTCAGGCCACAATTTTTTATATTTAGCCCAGGATGACAAATCGGTGGACTGTGCTTTCAGCAATGAGTCTGAAGCTGGCCAAAGGGCATTGTTATCAGTGTAGTTTTGATTCGGATTAGAAGGCGACATGGCATACAGTATAGCCTGGGCCTTGTTGTAGACATTAAGATGCTAATTTATTCTCAGCCTGTACAGAAGCCTGCCGCCAGATGGGGATTCCTTACACAAAAGGAGCTGGGATTCAAAGGGCCTTGCAGCCCCCATCTTTCCTGCTGTGTCCCGCTGACATCTTACGTTAGGCTCCCCCAGGAGCAGGCCCCGAGACAAGTTGTTAATTTGGGAGGCAAGTGAGTTCCGGGTAGTGGAGTGGGAAATAAGAAAAAAGACAAGAAAGCCAATAAAAGCTTGGGAGCTTTGGGAGATAGTGGAGAATAGGAACCTCAGAGTTACCACCCTCTTTTTGCCCCCCCTTCTGGGGAAAGGGAGGTGAGGTATCTATATACCCACTCCCATAGTTATTCCATACTTCCTGCCCACTGTGTGGGTGGGCAAGGAGGATTCTGGTAGGCAGAGGAAGCCCCCAGGCAGAGAGATGAAGGCAGGTGCTGGGATGGAAGTTAGCCCACTAGTGCACTGAAGGTCTAGGGCCATGGTCGGCAAACTGCGGCTCTCGACTCACATGCAGCTCTTTGGCCCCTTGAGTGTGGCCCTTGCACAAAATACCACGGCCTGGGCGAGTCTATTTTGAAGAAGTGGCATTAGAAGAAGTTTAAGTTTAAAAAATTTGACTCTCTTTCTCTTTCTCTTCCGAAAGAACCCCCTTCAGCAATTCATATAATTCTGGTTTGGTGGTGATGAACTCCTTTAGCTTTTTTTTTTTTTATTAGTAAAGCTCTTTATCTGGCCTTCGATTCTGAGTGATAGCTTTGTTGGGTAGATTATTTTTGGTTGTAGGCTCTTGCTATTCATCACCTTGAATATTTCTTGCCATTCATAAAGATAAAAATTATGAACAACAAATAAGCAACTATCAACAAGTGAACATAAAAACCAAGGGAATTAAAAAAAAATCTGATGAACAATATTAACTGGGGAATATAATAGAATCAGAGGTATGAAAGGGGAGTGAATTGACGATTCTCGGGGAAAAGGGAAGTGGGGGTGTGGGAAGAGACTGAACATAAACTGTGCACCTATGGATGAGGACAATGGGGGGTGGGGAAAGGGCAGAGGGTGGGGTGGGAACTTGGTGGAGGGGAGCAATGAAGGGGGGAATAAAATGAGGAACATTTTTAATAATAGGAACAATAAAGATTTAAAAAAAATTTGACTCTCAAAAGAAACTTCAATCGTTGTACTGTTGATATTTGGCTCTGTTGACTAATAAGTTTGCTGACCACTGATCTAGGGAGATGGGTGAGTCACCAACAGCATCTGCCACAACTTTGTTTATTTGCTCTCTGCCCACTGTGTGCAGAAATCTTGCCTGGAAAATAGACATCGGTGCCTTGGGCTCCAGCTTCCACAAGCAGTAGCTCCCAAGAGACATTTCCTGTTCCCTTCATAGTTGGCAGTTCTGAATCTCACACTCACCTCTGCCAGAGGCATTGTCAGCAATGTCCCTGCCCTGCTGCCCTGCTGTGGGCACATCAGTGACAAGTGCTTCTCAGCCACTCCCAGCTTTCTCCTCCCCGAGCTGCTCCTGAGTTATGGCTACTCAGGTTGACCAGCTGACTCCTGTCTTGCCTGCTCACTCCTCCCCAGTGCCCAGCACACACCTTTGCCAGCACCTGTAGCTCAGGTCCAGGAAAGCCCCAGTGGACAGCTGGGGACTGAGACAAGGCCACTCTCTCAGTGCCTGCCAGCCCCCTTTTCTGGCTCTCTCGCCCTCTCCCCACTTTCCCCACAGCCTTTCTTGCAAGCACGAAGCCCAGCTGTGCTAACTCATCTTGGCAGCCGTCATTGGAGCCAGAGGCTCGCATGGCATGCCCTCCCTCACCTTCCTGCCTCTCCATCCAGGAGCCCAGCAAGGCCCCCTCACTCCCATTTCTCTCGTGGTTTCTGCTTCTCTCTGCAGTCTTGCTTTTGTCTTTATGTGCATTAGATAAGTGGCCACACTGACTTCTCACTGCCCTCTGGCCATAGTGGGCTCCTCAGTCTTGCCTTTGGGCTTTTGCACATGGTCATTCTGGATGCCCTTCCTCTTTCTGACACCTGGTAGTGCCAGCTCCCATGGCACCTCTTATTGGAAGCCTTCCCCTGCACCCCCTCCCAAGCCAGCAGTTTAGCTGTACTCCGTCCTCCTCTCCACTCCCCTCACCCCAGTATGTTTACTCACTTCTAAGTGCCAAGAACACTGTAAGTAACTAGCAGTTCCCTGTCTATCTTAACTTTAAATGGTAAGCTCCCCACACCATGCTTGGCATATCATAGATACTCAATACATTCTGACCCCTCTCTATTGCACCCTACATCCCATCATTGCCAACTCCTATCCGTTCCAGAATCCCCTCACTGTGCACCATCCCGTTATCACCCTGGTCCCAGCACCATCAGTCCCAACTACCGCGTGCAGTGCCCTTTCCAGTGGGCTCCTGCCTGTTCTCCACAGCAGCTGAGGGATTCTTTTAAAACATGTCTGAGCATTTATTTCTTCACTTAGAACCCATTTCCACTGCTCACTGCAGCTTCCCCCCTCCCCATCCCCCCTCTCATCTGTACTTTGAGCTGCCACCCCTTGGTTTCTCCCATCAGCTGTTTGCTTCCTTCTTGGCTTGGCTGAGACTCCAATTCCCTTGCAATGCTCCCACATCCATGTCTTTCTGGATTTAGGTTGCACTTCTCCAGCCAGATCCTAACTCTGGAGTGATTCACCCTCAACACACTTAAGGCCTCCACCTCAGTTTAATGTTCTTTGTTTCCAGCATCCTCAGCTAGCTCTCCCCTATTCCTGCACTAGCTCCTTTGAGCCTTGACTCTTTCCTACAAGCCTTGTGGCCGCCCCTTTACCTTCTCCAGAGCACTGACCTCACTTCCTGTTTCACAGAGCAAACAGAAGCTAAGGAAGTTGGGGAAGCGCTCAGACCTCCCACCTCGCTCTCCCTGCTTGGTAAGAAAGGAGTCACTCCTCTCACTCAAGGCGCATCACCTACTTGTGCTGTGCTGGTCTTGAGCCACCAGTCACCTGTGAGCTTGTCTCTGTCACAGCTGCACTCTCATTCTCTCCACCCTTTCCATTCCTCTTCCCTACCTGCTTTTCTCTCCATCACTTTGCCCCATAGCCCCAACCCACACAGGTCTCCACCCTGAAGACACATCTCTTGTATATCCTGGACACTTGCCATCTCACCTGGCTTCCAGGTGCCACTCTCTTAGTGACTCCATGTCAATTTCCTTTGCTGCTTCTTCCTTCTGTTCCCATAGCTAAGTGTAAGGGTTCCCTTGGAAGAGTCTTGTAAAGGCAGTGAGGTCTCTCTGACACTCCATTTTAAATTACAATGTCCTCCTGCAGCCCTGTGCTCTCCACCTTTTCAACCGGCTCTATTGTTTTCACAGCACTCATCACCTCGTCCTGTATTATTTGAGTTACTCTTCCCTGTGTCCATCAGCTTTGTCCCCACAGTTCACACAGTTCAAGAGGAAGGGAGAGGGAGAGAGAGAGAGAAACATTAATGATGAAAGAGAATCATTATTCGGCTGCCTCTGCACACCCCACACTGTGGATCGATGGCCAACTCAGCCATGTGCCCTGACTGGGAATCAAACCATGACCTCTTGGTTTATAGGTTGACGTTCAACCACTGAACCACATTAGCCAGGCTGTCCTTCTCATTTAACTCTCATGACACTGGTATCCACCTTGCAGA